AAAGTGATTAAATAGAAGGTCTTCTTCATTCTTTAGGCCTCCAATTCATGCATTTTTGCCTTGAAATTCTGAAATGGGCTTAATTTAGTTCTTGTAGCCTTAAAATAAGTCTACCCTTTTCAAAGAAGCAAGAATCATAATGAAATTAGGTGTACAGCTCAACATATAATCCAAAAACTAAAATAGGGTCAAAATAACCAAAATTCCATAAAACTGACCTAAGACTCAATTAAGATCTAATAAAAGGAAAGTAGTCTAAACCAAATCAATTAAGCAAAAAGAAGGATTAATGAACAAAATATAAATAACAAAAATTATAGAAAAATCCAATTCATCAGTTAACTATGTGCATATATTCATTTATTATTTGATTTATTCAAGCTAATTATGTCATAGAAAATGGAATGGTAAGGTGAAGTCTTAATTATTGACTTTATTGACAGAATCCTCATAATATGAGGGGTCATTACCATGAGTTCTAGTTTCTTTTTTCCTTTTTGCATACAACTAGCTAGTTACAATGTGCTATGAATATTTCATCAATAATTACATCCAAGAAATTTACTACTCATTGATTTTTAACTGTCGTTGGCAATGCCATCTTCCATCATCAAAGGAGTCATAGGATTTGCACAAGTTGTTGCATCTAAAAACATGATTTAATAGCATGGCCATATTGGCTACAATGAAGGCATTTCACATGTAATCCTTCACACTTGATATGGAACCAATGATGTCTTAGTTAAATTGTTATAACAATTGCTTTGAAATTTCTATAAGCACTCTTGCAAACTTTCCTTTATCTACTTTTAGCGTGTTCATGTTTATTTTAATAGACTTGTCTACCACCAAAGCTAGCGCTATAAGAACACTTTCTTGATAGTATTCTAACCTTAAGCTCAAAATGAAAATCCAAATCAAGGTCTTATCAATCTTCTCGCTAAAGGAAATGTATCATATAACTCATGATCTCGTAGTAAAGTAGTGATCATATATCATTCATGGACTTCTAGAACCAACCTTCTTGTGATCTTCTAACATAAAAAGCTTCTCAAAAGTAACTATAATCCACATCAAATATGTCAAAGTCATACGAGAATGACCATAAATTATAAAAGTTCTCTTATAGTTCCATGTAATCTATGCTCTTCTCTAGCATATTAATGATCAACGCTTTCTTCTATGATCTATTAATTTTTTATTAGACTCTATCATTAATGAAGCATTTTGTCAAAATATTATTACAACCCTTGATATTTAACTTTAAAAAGTTTATTCTTTATCGTATTGACCTTCCTTTCACTTTCCATGTTTGTTTTACCTAAAAAAATGTCTTTAAATAAATATTTTTATTTTAAATAGATTATTTCTTTTATAAAAGGTATCAACTTCTATATATAATTTGAGTATTGATTCTTGAACAAGAATATTTTAAGATTATTATCAAATTAGAGAATTTTAAGAGTTTATTATTTTTTCATCATACTAAATAGTTTTATTTCTATATTCTTTATTTTTTAATTTTACATTAATTTAAATTATGGTTTATTAATAATTATTTAATTTTATTTATCATAATGAAATATTTTTTATTAATAATTATAATATTTACTTTCTTTAAAATTTATTAAATTAAAAAATAGTTCTATATTATAATTTTAATTATCTATTTTAAATAATTTAATTTAATGATACTTATGCTATGCAGTGATAAACAAATTATTAGTTGTATAAAATTTATAAACTAATTTTAATCTCTTCAAAATAATGTAAATAATACTTGTTACATTTTTTTTTACTTTTAAATAACTACGAGAAATAATATTTTGCAAACACACTAAGCGAAGATGTGTTACTTTTTAATGAGATATTTGTATTTTAATTAAATATGGAATCAAGCTAAAATAAGTTTATAATTTCATTAATATAACTTAATTCTAATGATTTACAAAAATGTCTATATTATTAATTGAATAATTGTATGAAATACATGTCACCTACCTATTCAAAATGGCTTATATAATTAGATGCTCAGAGTGTGTTTAGCAAAACATTTCACCTGTTTGAAAAATAATTTTAAACTTAAATAACATTTTAATTCCTAAAAATATGTCTTTTAATTTAATTTCCAATAAATTCAAATAAATTTTTTTATAGAAACTAAAACTAAAAAACGTGATAGTTTTAGGCACTAAAATATTATTTAAGCTTATATTTTATTAATTGAAAAATTCATTTAATAAAAAATATTATTTGGTAAAATAACTTAAAATAGTTAGTTGTTAGCATTATTTTAATGCTACTATTTTTATTATTTTTAATTTTCAGCTACTAGCGGAAACTAACGTTATCATTTTTTTAATTATTTTTAAGTAATTGTTTTTACCTGATTAATTTCTTAAATCATATTTTCTTTACTGAAAAGGAAGAAAATACGTCACAAATAAAAAAAAATATCACAACATTCATTATTTAAAAAATAATAAATTGTTAATGCCTTAAAAATAATTTAACAAAGTCAGTAAATCTTATATTTAATGATTAAATATTTATAAATGAAATTGAAATTAAAAAATTATTATCCTAATTTGAAGATGATAAATAATTTTAAATAAATTAAAATATATAATTACTAAATTTCAAAATTATTTCCTTATTAATAATATCAGCTTATTATTATTTTACATTATCAAGTTTAACCAAACACTTTCAATTTTAACTTGTGTCCTTATTTAGTTTAGTTTACAATTTTAACTAGGTTTTTAGCTTTTAGCTAGTTTATCAACTAATTTTTCTAAACACACCTATAATATTATTTCTATTTTTTGTTTATTTGTCTGGATAAAAAATACATAGATTAAAAAATTTAATTATTTTATTAAAATTAATTGTTAGCTTTCTAATTTACCTTTTATTAGTAGAGTTTTTTTATTACTCTTGAACCTTTTATATGAACAAAATAATTAGTGAATGGAAAGTAAACGATATTTTCTTGAATTTCTATAAAAATAAATAAAACAATTTTATTAACCTCAACTTTTAAGATTAAGTTAAACCATCTAAAAGTAGTAAACTTTTATTAAAATAAAAATATTTATTATATTTTTACATTTCCAGTATAATAATTTTCTTAATAAAAAATTACTTTTAATGTTTAAACTTTGGTTGAAAACTCATTAACCAAACCAATGAATCTAAGCCAATTTCGTCTTCTGTTTATAGATAAATAAATAAAAATAACATATCATATTAAATAATGATACAGACTATTTAAAATTTTAAAACATGCGAATATCAAAGTCAATAAAAAAAGTTAAAAAGATTAAAATACAATAATATTTTATTTAAAAACATATTTTAATCTAAACTAATCGTCACGCTCATCGATAATTGATTTCAATTATTTGACATGATTTTACATCAATGAGCATGGTTAACGTTTACTTTATAATATTCACCGACTAATAATAATTAATAAAATAAAAGTACATTCTCTAACATATTTCTCACGCATTTTTTATCATCTGAAAAGTTTTTCATACCAGCTACTAAATAAGGAACGACAACAATTAAATAAAAATAAGATCACACCATTTGATATTACTCAAATGTTTTAAAATAAACTACATTAGAATTTTTTAACATATCTTTAAAAATTAATTTAATTTAAAATCATAATAAATATTTCTTAAACTCAAACCCAGTTATAAAACTGCAATTTTATTTGATTATAGACTTGAAATTTTTTTATTTATATTAACATTTTATCATAAATTTAAATACAAAAATATTCTAATTCGTTATCACTTCAAAGAGAATTAACTAAAAAATCTTACTACGAGTCATTTCTAAACGATAATTATATATATATATATATATATATATATATATATTTATTTATTTATTTATTTATTTATTATTTTTTTGAAATTGAAGCTTTAGCCAATTGCAACTTGCAAGTATTAAAGCTCCGATTATGTTATATAGTTTCATCTGTCGCTGTTGCTATAATAAAGTTGGTGGTGTCACATAAAATAAAAATCAAATCCTTGAGTCAGTGTCCCCACTTGATCACCATGATGCTGGTACAATTCCCCCTTAAAAGAAATCACCTACCCTCAAAATTATTATGAAAATTACGTAAATCTAAACTTTGCCCCGTGGCCTAAACGTGATCAAATCAGCAAACAAAAATTGACCCCCAATTACTTTCCGAGAAAGGTTGCATCTTTTTATAAGAATTTAGAAACATGAATGACCTCACGCAAAATCTGAATAACCCTTTCTACTTATACCATATGAACCGCACGCACCAACCTACTTCATCACTTCCATTATTAAATTTTTGTAACGGTTGAGATGAGATGCAAATCTATCACCAATCACACCCTTCTTTATGAGGCATGAAAGGTTTGCAAATATTGTCTTTACATGCCCCTTCTTCACCGACCTCATTCAATAAAGTTGCTATTCTGTGGGACCTCATTAGCTTTCCACTCATCCATAAGCCCAACATGGCATCATATAACATTCCAATAAATTTGCTAATACTTGACAAAAACAAACAGCAATAAATTTGCATATCTGTAATATAAATTAATTATTATTTTAAATCAACATTGGTTATTGAATTATATTACATATTGAAAAGCAATTACAGTTTATTTTAAAGATTGAAAAATTAAATGTCTATAAAATCCTTAGAAAACCATCTTAGTGTCCTCCTGTATTAATGAACGATTAACTGAATACTTTATGAGGGAATAATGTCTCTGCATATAGCGTAAAGGTATCCTAGGCCACACTTCAAAATGAAAATGGAAAACAAAATGATGAATTACATTTCATCCCTGCAGACATTAATATACAATATCTTCATACATATATATAACTTTTTTACTTTAAATTTCGTAATTTCGTAATTTCTAATAAAAAATCAATACGTAATACAAAAAATTAAAGACCAAAACCAAAATAAAAACTTATGATTGTCTCATAACAAGAAGATCGACTAATTTCTAATTCTTACTATTAATTTAAGAATGTTGAGAAATAAATAAATAAACACGTTAAAAAGAGCATAATGAAATTACCACCTACATTATTATGTACATAACACATGCAATGTCTGGTAAAAAAGATGCATTACAGCTAGACAATCCCTGCCACCGGCCCTAATATCAACAAAATTTGGAGGCAAATATTTTGATTGAACTGCATAAGAAATAAAAACATTCTGAACAAAAGGGTGGTTCCCAATGCAACGGTTCACACTCTTCTCTTTTCAAGCTGGCCAAAATACAAATGGACAAGATGCCCCATTGAACCATCCAAGAGGTCAGTCCCCACAAGCCATGTCCTTCCCTTCCCACCCTCCAAAAAGTTCAACTCAACATTGCTTCCACTTCAACAACCAAACCTACTGCACAATTGTGGGGTCAGTGACTGATCAAAACACCAGTTGCTGCTACCTTTGCTTTTTGGAAGTGAAACTTTTTAATATGCCTTGGTGCTTTGAAGGGTAGACTTGGCACTGTATAACAGTTTTACCAATCATAAACCCTGGAACTACAGTGAAACCAACTTGTGGCTCAGATTCCACTGCCATTTCTTCATCATTCACACTCTCCATGTACACATCAGAGAATCTACACCCTTTCCTCACTTGAAAGATTGAAGCTTGAGGCTCAAAGGAAAAGGCTAAGCAATGTAGGAGCCAAACCCTTTTAGCCATTTCAGCAAATGATGTGAAGAAGTTGGTGTCAGGAAACTCTCCAGCATTCAACATGTTCCTCTGGCTCAGGTTACCAAAGAATGATGCCTCCATCTTGGGATGAACAATTCGTAAGTACTTGATCCTGCAAAATTTAGCAAATGGTGATCTTGGCTTCCCTGCAAGAAACTCCTTTGCTTTCATAGATTTTAGCTCATTGAACCTCCCAAAGAACAATTGCCTCTTGTTCCTATCTGGCAAAGACTCATTAGGTAGAGAGAAATTGGGAAAGTTGAAGGAATCAAACATTTCCTTACAAATAAAGGACTCGATTGCAAAACACTTGTGATCTTCTTTGAAGTAAACCACATTGTGTTCAGTAATAGCATTCACTGAAGCATCAATATCCCATCCAGCAGATCTCATTTCATTCACCAACAACTTCACGAAGCTCCTAATGGACCTAACGGTGTGGCGAAGAACAGTAACAAAATGGCTAGGACTTAATCCTGAGATATGGAGATTATCAAGAACTGATAATGACCCACTTTGAGTTAACCTCTTCTCAATTGACTTGTTCAACATATTAGCTTCCAGTAATTTCTCTCTGAGAAATATGATCTCGGATTCCTTGAGCCGTGCCTGTGATTCTAACTTCTTTCCCATGATCTCGAATGTTTTTATGACACTTTGCAGCTCCTTTGATTCAGCTGCAAGAATTGCTCTATGTGGTGAAGGATCAAATTGTTTTTTGAAGTAACATTGCTTTAGCTCGGACAAGGTCTTGAACTCTGAGACAATCAATTGATCAGCCTCTTGAATTCCATCAGGGTCATATGGAGACTGAGCATACTGCAGCTGAGCATATGAAGATTTCACAGTTGAAATGCTAGCAAAAGTTTTTGCAAGCAAAGCGTCTATGGCCTTTCTTTTCTGAAGCTCTTCGTCTTCTTTGTTTATTGCATTCTTACCCATGTTTCCTTCATTGTTGAGATCTGCGTCAACTTTAACATTCTTCAGTCCATCAACTGGTGCAATTCCAGTCATTGCTCTAACATGAAGAACCTTGGCAAAAGTGCGAGCCAGTTTGCTCTTGCTTGGTGCCACTGATGATGGCTTAACAGATTCCATCTGCAGAAACATTGAACATATTGCAAATGAAGATGAAAATATAGTGCAAGTGTTCTTAAGTGTTTAAGAGGACTAACAAGGGCAATAAAGGCATAAGAATATGGTGATCGTGATGAGTGTGTTTAATAAAAGAAAAAAGCAATGTGCTTTAATGCTTAGATCGAGGCCTTTAATGGAGGCTGGAATTTTTCTTTTTGTTGTTCATCTATAAAAATTTCTTCTTGCTTGCCTACTTTCAAAGGCGTGAAAAACAAAAAGTCATTTCTAAAAAAGCATGTTTAGAAGATAAGGACGCTAGAGAATAAAGAATGAAGGACATGATCAAAAGATGCATTAAAATTCATTAAGGTATATACTAGGCATCTTGTCCAACGTGGCAATTTGCAACGTGAATAATAAATGAAACCATGGCCTTATATATCAAGCAAAAGCAGAAAAGATAATTCAGTAATTTAAAAATCTTTAAGAATGTCTATATTATACTCTTCGACACAGAGAAAGTAAAGCTTCAAGGCCCAAATTTAACACAGCCAATAACACAATGACTATATTATTCCTACATATTATATTGTGTTTTTAACAAGTTTATCAGGCCTTGTTTAGTTTACTAAAATTGCGGTCCAAATAACATAAGAGAATTGACCCGTTAGTCAAATTACTCCGAACTTGTTTGTAAAGTGGTCAAATTAATACTTTGGGTTACCTTCAGCACTGATTTATTAAGAAAGTAATAATGATTACAGTCATGATCAACATTAACCCCATTCACCTCCCAAGTTTTACAAAGGCAAATTCAGTCAACGATAGATTCATAACCTCAAATTAATAGTTAAATCCAAAAGCAATTTCAAGTGATCTACCTTTGTTAGGCAATCATTACATGTTGGTAAATAATATTATAATTATGAATATTTCAGTAACCATTCAAAAAACTGACAAATAGTTTTGTTTCTTTTGATAAAAAAATACATTTGCCTGATTTCTAATCCTTAGGATTCCCTGAGTTCCTCATTTTCAACATGTAGCAGATCAGGCCTAGGCATAGCAGTAAGTAGTTGCCCATGTGTCTGCAATATAGGACCCATATCAAAGTGAATAAATATCTGACATGCAACTTTTAAATTCACCATCATGACGATGAGAAAAATGTATATCACCCCTCTAGGCATCCAATCACTAGATGGTAGTAGAGATATCTATCTCTATTCACAAACCATGCCTAGAAGTACCCCTTTAACCTTGCAAAGGCAATTAAGAACCCAGCAGTAGTGGTCACACACAATTATCATATATTATATGGAACAAACACAAGCAATTAATTAACCAGAAATACAACGTGAAAACTGTACTTCAAAGAGCCAGTTCGTGTTTTCACTTTTCACTCATTTTTAAACAGTTATAGATTTACTTTAATATTATTAATTATAATTTTTACAAAATTTCCGTTGTTTCTAAATACACACTTATTAATCTTACAAAAATTTCGATCTTCCCCGTGACTAAAATGACAGTAACTGAGTACTGAACATTGTCTATCTGAATGGTGAAACACCATACAAGATCATGCAACATTTTTTCACTGTGACTGACTGCTTACCCCCACTATTGTCATTTCAACATCCACTATGACAGACATTCACATGACTATTATTAAAAAAGTCAAATCAACACAAGATTAGATTCTTTAGTGCTTTCAAAATCTACCAGACACACGACATATTACCTTAATAAAGCACAACACAACATCATGGGGCCTCAAAAACATTAAGCCAATTCCTTATTTCATCCAAAAATTACCAACCTCACAACAAACAAAAATCGTTATTCTTGCCAGAAACCACATATTAACCAAACTATCAATCATCATAAACATCAAATGAAAGTGCCAAAACAAAAAACTTTAAAAGTCAAAAACCCGGAAAGATCAGAGTAACAAAATTAAAGAAAAAGAATCACAACACCACACAAGAAAGCATTAATTAGATATACCAAGATTTTTCACTGTACCTTAAGAAATACCCCGAGAAATTAGAAGTGAACGACTGTGTTAATTTCTCCACATAGTGAAACGTATATCTCACGAAAACAGAGTCAGAATAGAACAACACAAATATGTGTTATCGTGTATTGTTCTCCAAGAGATAACTTGAACTACCCTGCAAAACCAAAAATCCACTTAAAGTAAAGAAAGCCCATAAAAAGGGAAAAAAAATCTTTTTCAAAACACACACACACACAAAAAGGCAAAGAAAAAGAACGGAGTTTATAGAGTTTTTTTTTTAAAAAGAAAAAAAAACAGAAAGATAATCTAAACGTGCTTGTAATGAAAACGCGTCCAAAAGATAAAATATTTCCCTTTTGATAATAATAAAAACACCGACCTTTATTTTTCCTTCAAACCAAAACCCCCTCTAAAAGTTGCTGACTCTGTTTCTGTCTCCTCCTTAATACAAAGAGAGAAACAGAACCAACCAATAGTGAATGAATGAGAACAACTAGTATATAAAAATAGGTTAACGAAGTTTCTTCTGAAGTTTCCTCAGCTAACCTGAACAAGAAAACCAAGAAATGAGAAGAAGAAAAAATGAAAACGACCCAGTTGACCAATCTCTTCAAATACTTGTTCGTGTTACGGTGTTGTTTTGTGTGTTCTCTTGTTTCGTCTTCTCAGGCTTCGTGGTGCCGTTTCTTCTCAGCTTAGAAAACCTCGTCGTAGTGACTCTTGGGCTTAAGTTGAATTGTTAGTGTTTCCTTTTCATTTATTGTTATTTTTATTATTATTTTAACGACCCTTCGGAGAGACAGAAATACCATAGCTGTTGAGAGAGAGAGAGTATGCGTGAGATGACGAAAAGGGACAGCGTTTGAGATATGTTCCGACCTGACAACAGTCTCGGCATTGGGAATTTAAAAGATTGCAGAGTGTGGTGTCGCTTTCGGTAATTTTAAGGTTAGTTTGATGCCCTCAGAGGATGCTGATATTACATGTTCCGTTTCGTAGGAAGTAGTTGGAGATTGAGTAGGGCGGGAAGGTTAGAATTGGAATTTCAAGAGGATAATAGTTCATTGTGCATATAGGCTAGCTAGTTAGATACTCTTTCGTTTAAACTTGTCTCGTATAATAATGTTAAATTCTCTTTTATTTATTTATAAATATAAAAACACTTCATTGTTAAATAAAAATTATTAAATGTATCTTATATTTTAAAATAATCAATATAATAATTTTTTATTTGATACCACTTGTTTTTTTATTTAATATGGTTATAAAATTTTCAAAACAATTAATATTTTCTTAATTTAATATTAATTTCATATTTTACAGTTTATTTTTATTTAAATTTAATAATTTTATTCAATATAAAACATTCATGAATTTTTATTTGTAATTTGTAAATATAAAATCTTTAATAAAAATTAAAATATTCTCAAATAAAAGTTAGTTTTCTTTCATATTAAGTTATTTTTATGTTAAATATTTCATATTTAATTTAATATTAATTTCAAATTTTACAATTTATTTTTATTTAATTTTTATAATTTTAATTAATATAAAATAATTTTATTTATAATTTGTAAATATAAATTCTTAAAAATGTTTTTTTAAAATATTCCCAAATTAAATTTATTTTTCTTTCATAATAAATTATTTTTTATATTAAATATTTTATTTTTATTTTAACATAATTTCAAAATATATATTTTTATAATTTATATTCTAAATTTTAATTTTCTTTTCTATTCAATTTAAATTATTTTTAAAGTGATTATTGTCATAATTACTTCACTTAATAACTCTTTATAAATATTAAAATTTGTTAATTTAACTATTAAAATAAAACTAAAATAAATAAGTTTAAAAAATATTTTTAAATAAAAATAAATAATAATTTATTAAATAATTTTATTTTAATATTTAATATACATTTATAAAATATAAATATACATTAATTATGAAAAAAATGCATTCATAAATATTTAATTTATTCACTTGATTTTTCATTTTAACAAAATATTTATTAATTTTATATGCAATTTATAAGAGAAAATTTTTAAATGAAATTATTTTTATAATTTTTTAAATTATAATTAATTTTAAGGATTGATTTTTTTTGTTTTATCATTTTTTGTCTCCACTAAGTATTAATTTTAAGTTAATATTAATTAAAAAATTTATAATTTATTTTTAATTTAATATAATTTAAAAAATAAAATATATGTTCAGTCACTTATTAAATAAATTTAATTAAATTCAATAATATCAGTTTAGTGAGCTGAAAAATCATTAGTTTATTCTAAAAAATATGATGTTTTTACTTCAATTTTTAAAGTTGATTTTAAGAATTTATGATTAATAAATTTTATCATAAAATCTATTTATTATATTTTATATTTCAAATAATGAATATTTTTTAATTAAAATTATTATTTCAAAATATTTAAATTTAATCTTAAAAAATTAATGTCAACAAAATTTTATAATAAATATTAAAAAACATTAAAAAGATATAAAAAAGTTTTGTATTCTTGTAATTGTGTTTGATACTGTAATTTATTGATTTATTAATTTATTAATTTGATTAATAATATAATAAAATTAATTTTATAAGTATTGATAGAAAATAATTAATATAATATTTAAATAATTTTTTAATAAGTTAAAAATAATTTTTTAAAATTTAAATTATAGTGCTTACAAAAAAATAGATAAACATAAATTTAATTTTATTTAAAAAATTTTATTCATTTTATTACTTAATTTTTTATTCTGATAAATATTTATTGAAAATTTTATCTAAATTAAGATTTAATAATAAAAAATTGAAACAAATTATAATTATTAAAAAATTAAAATTAATTTAATTAATATTCAATTTTTTTCAAAATTTTATTATTAATGTTTTATTTTTTATTTTTGTGTTGTTAAATATTTCCAGTCATCACATTAAAGATTAGTCTCATTCCATTGTTTTTGTTATTTTTTACTTCTTTTTATTTGTATTTTTTATTAATTCTTTATTGATTATAAATAATTAATTAAAATATCTTTAATTTAATTTAATATTGTATTAAGATAATATTACATTTTATATGATTATTTAACATATTTTAATTAATTACATAATTAATTTTAGTAAACAAAATCAAATTCAAGTTACTAGCTATACAACTATAATTTTTTAGCTATAAATTATAAAAATTCAATTTATTTCACAATTACAAGTCTGTAATTTTAGCTAATTTATTAAATAAAACGTAAATTTAGGATTAAGGTATTAAGAAGGAAATATTTGATCTATTTGGATTAAATAAAAAATAATATAAAAATAAATAATTTTATTTTATAGAAAAATGTGATTTTAAAGCTTTTTTTTTTTTAAATAAAAAACTTGTTTTATCATTTTTAAAATATACTCAAAAAATAATATTTATTGTTTAATTTGTAAAATATAAAAACTAAAATATATTTAAATTGTTTTGATTCTCTACTTTTAATGATAATATTAATATTTATATAGTAGTGAGTTATCCCTAACAAAATTTATTAATTGATAATTATTTATAAATGTTAAATTTTATCAATTTTAAGATCAAATTAATTTTTTTATTAAATAAATTAAACTTATAGAAAATTATATAATTAATAAATTATTAAGATAAATTTATTTAAATATTTAATATTATTTAAAAATATAAGTAAACTAGTAAATATATTCGTGCGTTGCACGGATTTGTTTTATTTTTATTAAATTAAATGATTTTAAAATATAAAATATATAAATATGGTAAAAAATTATTATATTAAATATAATTACATCGAAAAATATTATGAAATACTTTTTTATATGTAATATTTGTTGTATATTCTATATATTTATTATTTTTTTTAATAATAAGTATTTTTATTTCTTTTGTTGACATTATTTTAGACAATGCAACATATAATTGACCATGTTTAAATATAGCTTTTGGCAAATATAATCCAACATTATTTAATGATTGTCTTTAATAAGGAGTCTTGTTCCATTATACATTCCTAATGTGGGATTGATGTTCCTAGATAGCATAATTGACATTTTTTCTTTGAGTTGCAAGCAATGGAGAGGAAATCCATTAAAATTTAAAGTATTCAAGAACTCTACAGGATACATAAGCTCTTGTTTAATGATTTGATTTGATTTATCACCTATACTCTTTTAAAAATTATTAATAAATAAATAAGCATAATTTTAATTTATGATTTGTATGATAAAATATTAATTATAAAAGTAGTTATGATAAACTCTATAAGTGTATAATTAAATTATATTAATAAATAAATAAGCAAATATCATCATAGTTTATAATATTAATATCAATACATGCATGAATAAATTTTTATAATTATTTTCTAATTAAATTAAAGAAGTAAATTAATTTTAAAATATGAAATAATTTTAAAAAATTACTTGTTAATGTAATAATAATAGAATTAATAAAATTAAGATAATATCTATTAAGATAATAATATATTTAATAATAGGTTGCATCTTAAAAAAGATTAAAAAAAGTCCATTTATCTTCATTGGAACTTGTTTTCCTACAAAAGCATGGAAAACACAATTTAGTGAAACAAAAAAAATATATATCAAACTTAAAAACACATGTACTTACGTAGATAGGTAATTCTCAACTGCTGACATGATTATAAAATACAAAGAAAAAAGATGACAATAAAAGGAACTATGAGCAAATTTTCAAAAGTTGTGTAAACAACTAAATATAACTTATATAAGTAGAGATGAAGTCCTACTTGGAGATATATGAAAAGTTAGTAAATAAAAAATTAATATAATAAAAGTTATATTTTCATCTGTATTGTAGTTAATATTGAACTCTCTCTCTCTCTCTCTCTCTCTCTCTATATATATATATATATATATATATATATATATAAAACTAATTAATAAAATAATTTAAATGTGTAAAAAAATTATTAGAAATTTAAATTAACAAATTTTTTACTACAAAATAAATATTAGTCTTTGGAATATAAATCAAATATAACTAATTAATAAAATAATTCAATTAAAAGGTACTCCCTCCAGTCCTTTTTATAAGAAACAAAATGCAACATTTTTTTAGTCCTTATTATAAGAAACAAATGATAGATTCAAGATGCATTAATTGCTAAATTCTTTTTATACCCTTCTTTTATTAGTATCATTAAATATACAAATTACTAACATTTAATGTTATGGGTATTCTTGGAATAAAATTTATATTTATGGAAAAGATAACATAATTAATTGCTTTTCTTGGTCCTAGTAATTTTATCTTTTATTTCTTATAAAAAGGACCGGAGGGAGTAACTCAAAAAATGTATAGATATTTTTTATTCCAGATTTTTAACATAATATAACCATCAATTCTAATAAATTCTTCTTAAAGATATTTCATAATAAGTATGAATCAGATATAATAATTTTAAATCGTAAATTATGAAAAATATTATAATTAATTTTAATAAATGGTAATTTAAGGTTGCCATTTATAACATAATATAACCATCCATTCTAATAAACATTCTTTAAATACAATTTAAAGATAATAAGTATGAATAAAATATAATTTAAATTCGTAAGTTATATATTTTCAATTTTAATACATGGAATAATAAGTAAGTGCAGTGAATAGGAGTGATTTTATAGGTTCTGAATTTTAATGCAATAATATATATTTTCAATTTGTAAGATGTATGTTTCAAATTTTAATGCATAGACTAATAAGTAGGTAGAGTCATGTATATAAAAATGACTTTATACATTTCAAAATTTAATGCATAGAGTAATAAGTAGGTGTGCAATTAATTTTACATATATAAGCTAAAATGGATAT